GTTGTTAGCATTTATTAAAGGCTTTACAGGCATTCTGCTGCCAGATTTCAGGTATAACCAAATGTTCCCTTGACTTCCCTGGAATGCTAATTGACTAGCAGCGCAGCATGAATGGTGAAAGTATGTGCTTCGTTTAACTAATCTTCAACTCAAAAGTAATCACAAAAGGTTATCAGATCTTGTGTAATTTGGAGTATTTTAGGACAAACTAGCCAACTGTATTTTCATTATTTTGTGAACAGAATAAAAGGATCTATTCAGGTAGATCCACTACAAATAGTAGAGGATTTTTACCTAGCTTAAAACAGCAGCAACGTAGCTGAATAGGAAAAGGAAAATGGCTTAAGGCAAAGCATTTGTCTAATGTAGACGGAGAGTTATTTATTAGTAAATGCTCTTCTGTTCTGTAAAAGCTAGAGGGTTTTCAATTTTACGTCACTATTTTTTATAATTAAGGATCTAGTGTTGCCATAATGAGAACTATAAGTGCCCAATATGTTGTGTTTGTTATAAAGAAATGACTTCCAGCTGTGGGTGACAGCTAGTTATGAAACCATGGTGTACATCGAGACTGTTCTTGAAGAACTGTGAGCAGTGATTGTTTTGGTCTGTTTGTGGAGAGTGCACGGAAGGTATCTGTGCTCCGCAGTAGGAAGGTTCCTAACTGGTTGCGTTATTTCCGATGAATGTACAGCACTTCAGTGATGTTTGTGAGCAACACGGCCTTAACCCGGACAATTTTGCTTTGGCTTTATGACATGGGAATGTTCCCTGAGCTGCACAGTGTACAGCAGTACCCCCATTAGAAACCTCTACCAGTTGATACGCTGCAGCTTTCCGGTTCCAAGAGTCTGTCTTTTCTCTTGATTTTTTTTAAAGCTTTTTGTACATTCCACCTTTGTAAGTCCATTTCATATGTTTTGTGTACATGTAAGTCTTATGTAAGTCTTGCGCTCTGTTGAAACTCATGATTAATTTTTATTTTGTTGGTGATGGTGGCGTTTTTTTTTTTGTTTGTCAGTTTTGTTTTGTTTTTGTTTTGTTTTTGAATCCCTACGAGGCTAAACACAAACTTTGTCTCCTTAAGGTCGAGGATGAAAGATGCGCATCAAAGTGTTTGTGTGTGTGTGTGTGTGTGTGTGTAGTTTTAGCTTCCTGTGTGCCACGGTATTATTGATGCTTTAGCCGACAATAAAAATAAAAATTACTCTGTCTTGGAAATGTAGGAAAATCAGAGTCAAATGTGTACCTTTACCACGCACAAAAATTTCAAATAATAAAAATAAAGCTTGTTTCCTCTGTTATTCTCGTTGAGATTTTATTTTTCATGTGTTTCGTACTCATTGTCCCTAAAAATATCTCCATAATGCAGCAAGATGGGTAATTTTTTTTTTGAAAAGGAAGCTCTGATACCATAGGTCACAAGCCAATAAAACTGTAATTACTTCACAGGTGTTTAGCTTTTATCTAAGAAAAAAAAAAAAAAGAAAAGGAAAGAGGGACTTAGATCCTCTTGGAAAGAAGGCAGAGAAGTGGGCTTCCTTGTCCTCCATGTTCCATTTCAGTAATCAAAAGTTCAGTGATCAAAATTAACATTTTCACTGGAGAATGCTGCTCTTTACCAGGAAATTTCTGCAGCAAATGGCCAACTTCCTCTTTGGTTTTGCTGTGGTACTTGCTTGAATTCTGTGCAGAGATAAGCGTGTGATCTTTTAGAAATCATGTGAAGAAGAATATGGAATTCTGTTTTCACAAATAAGAAATAATATCAGGGAAAGCAGGGGCAAAATAATTTAAAAGGGTACATATATTCTGGGCACCCATCTTGAGATACCCAGAATCTCTCTTTTTAAGGACTGCTAACCACTTATAAATAATTACATGATCAAAACTGCTTCATTGTTCCTTAAGCTAAAATTCTCTTTCACAAGCAGCTGCACCACGCCGCAGTTAACTATCCCCATAGTTTTGCTGACAGTTCATGTGAATGCTCCCTAATTCGCACCAGACAAAAATAACTCCCTGAACTGGAACAGTCAATGCAATTTCTGCGGACAGATGCTCTCCCCAGGCACCAGCTGTGTTGGTGGAAGAGCGACCCACTGTCTGCTGCTCCTCGCTACCTCCAGTTGAAGTTTCCTGACCCTCCCGTGTGTCAGATGAACGTGAAATGACGTATTACAAAAAAACTAGTAGTTAAGCTACTCATTTCATCGAGTTGGTAAGTGGTTACTTCAGAGGTCTGCTAGCAAAGATGTGGCAGCAGTGATCACTGCCGCAGGGCCAGCTAGCATCTCCCACCCGGCCAGATGTTTGCAGGGAGAATGCCTGTTTGCAGGCTGGGAGCCCAAACACTTGCTTGAGCATGACAGGAGGCAGCAGATGCTGTAGACACTGCCCCGCATGGATTACTCGTGGGTTGCGTTGCTTCCTGATGCCTGGCCACGTCCCACTGCTGCCTGCTGGGCCCTCAGAGGAGTTGGTATCACCACTGATGAGCAAGTGGCTCTGAGAGCTCCCCTTCTCTTCCAGCCTCCAGCTCCACCACAGCACCTTCTGGTGCCAGTCATACGGATGTTGTGGAAGGTAGCCCACAGGACCCAGAAGGTTTGCTATTAATTTTCTGGAAATGAATTCATCTGCTAGTCAACTTGAATTCCTTCCTTCTGTTGAAAAAATTAGCTCATGTGAAGACTGCCCTATAGTGCACATATCCAAAAGGAACAAAACCAAAGTAAAACAGACAATTTTTGCTCTCCTACTTAACCTTCCTGCCTTCCAACACCACTGTAATGCCTTTTCAAACAGTATTTATGAATGTAATTCAGTTACAGAATTTTAAGAGCAAAATGAAGGAGTACAAGGTCTATCTATCTCATGTAAGCAAATTTTAACACTGACAAAACAATGGTCTTTTTCTCTGCCTCAGATCTCAGGAACTGCAAAGCTGTTGCAGCTGGTGCTTAGACATCTCCCTCAGACACCAAGCACAGGGAATTTCTGCCCAAGCTGTTAGAACTTGAGAAAATCACACAGAAATTACAACAAATTTCGAATAGAAAAGCACAGTTATGTGCCAGCCTTCCACAGTATTTCCATCCAGTATCATTTTATATTTAAACAATTACATTTAAACATTCTGAAGCCCATAAAAATGCCAGGCCTTTCTGTATTTAAGAGTGGTTCTTTCAGACTTTATCCAGTAATGTAAAACAATCATCACTGAACAGAGCAGGAGATATTCCTGTGTACTTTCTCTTTGTTTGGGACCTCTCCCACCTGGTCATCTTTCAAATTAGTTAGTTTTAATTAGAAGACATTGAGGCCTGTGCCCCAAACCAATTCAGAGTGAGTGCCCTCTGGAATGCCCTCCTCTCATGCTTTTCCTCATCTCCCTGTGGCATTTTTAGCTCCAACACCCATTCTGCTACTGGCATGTGTTGCTTAGAGAAAATCCATGCTGCAGCAGGTGCTTTGCAAGTGCCACAGCAACCTTTTGAGAGGAGCGGAGCTGGGTTTCATTTCAGGCTGTGAAGGATGTCCTGGGGGAGAGAAGGGTGCAAAGACAGGAGGGAAGCAGCTGCTGCTGGGAGCCCCAGGAAGGGAACCCTTTGAGGGCTGGCTGGAGGAAGCACCCAGACAGAGCAGGAGCCCTCAAAAACAGGTGAAGGGAAGTGTCAGCTTTTACAGCAGGTTAACAAGCTGAAAATGTGATGCACAAGGAATAATAAGAAAACAAGCAGCTTTGTATTTTGTGTAAGTATTACACTTCATATTAATAATGCCCTTTTAAACTTGCATTTCATTTTTAGCAATACACCAGTGCACACATTGAAAAATGGGATCATTGCTAGGTCTGTGTGGAAGAGAGCTTCAGGTTTCAGGAAAGGGAACACTTCATAAAAGTGCTGAACAATATTTATGGGACTACCTGAACGTTTCAGCTGGCATGTTTTTATTTGCCTGAACTTAAACTCTACAATTAGAGTTTACAATTAGTACGGTAGATAGAAACCCCTTGCTGTTACCATGCCGAGCAATTTCTCAAGACCGCTGTAACCGAAGGAAGGCAATTTACAGCACAACTAATAATTACAATGAACTGTGAGTAATTAAAGTTGTTAGAACAGTCATCGCGATGAACAACTGTTTCAGCAACACCAGATGTGCCCAAGACCCTTGCTTCCATATGTCGAGAGGGGTTTTGCTTCCCCACATCCTCCCTCACCAGGCTATGTGTGCGATAGCACTGTTAGCGTGGCTGTATTTTATGTTTGCTGTTGGGCCTGGGAAAAGAAGTAAGACATGGTGTGTATGTGGGGCTGCATGGTGCATAGGCCACAACGCCTTGTCGTGGGGGTTTCACTACCCAGAGACACACAGCACATGTCCTGCAGGTTCTCAAACCCATGGCTGTAAATAGAGATTCAAAAACAACGCTGGAGCCAGCGGTGGTGGGATTTGAAGTATTTTTTAGGCTCTGTATTGTGGAAGTGAACAAATTTCAGCATTGCAAAGATATATCAAAGATACGGCAATTATATCTGTCAAGAAGATTGCACTTTCCACATGAAATATAAAATGGATGTGCACTGAGAAGTGTGGGCAGGGTGAATGTAGCTTGTCAGCAAAGCCTGGGCAACGCCACCTGAGGAACTGCAGCAGGGCCCCTGCGCCTTAACGGGCTGTGTGACCTGCACCCGCTGCAACCAGGGGCGAAACCTGCTTCACCTGCCTACGAGGGCATACGATTTCAGGTTTTAAAAAAAAATAATTGAAAAAAAAAAAAGAAAAAATGTGGTATTTTAAATATTTGAGGTGATAAACTGCTTCGTGGTATTCAAACAGAGGTGGGTTTGTTGTATGGAAACTGCTTTATTCAAACGCGAGGCTCTATTTCTCGGCTGACTCCACAAGGTGCAGAAACCAGGATGTAATTTTACACTTTTTTTTTTTTTTTTCCTTTCCCCCCCCCGCGGTTTCATCGAGCCCCGGGCGCTGCCGCTGACAGGAGGCGGCGGGCGGCGGGGTGCGGGCGGCAGGCGGCGCTGCGGGCTGACAGGCGGCTTCCCGGCGGCCCTTGCCCTGGCGCCCAAATCAAACACAGCCCGGAGGCAGCCATGGTAAGCGGGGGCCACCCTCCTCCTCCTCCTCCTCCTCCTCCTCCTCCTCCTCCTCCTCCTCCTCCTCACCCCCGGCGCCGTTAGCGGGGCGGGGGCCGCTGAGGGGCGCGGGGCGGGCAGGGGCCGTTCCGTTGCGGCGGGTAACGGCCGCTGCCTGCCGGAGGGCGGCCGTGCGGAGGGGGGGCTCGGGGAAACACGAATAATGCGTTGTAAAACTATAGAAAATGAAGCTAGTGAAAGCAAATCCTGGCTGTCTGTGGGAGGCTGTATCCCAACGTTACCGTGTCCTAGTGTTTCTGCCCTTTGGTTGTACTTCAGTCTGTGTTCTTTACAGCTGGGTCGCACAGCTACAGAGAGAAGAAATGAAAGAAAAACAGCTTTAAAAGCTTGACCTTGAAATTAGGAAGCTGAGTGGGAAATCTGAAGGGTTAGTACCTAAAAATGCACTTTATCCCTTTTCACGTTAGTGTTTACATTGCTCAAGATTAAATATTATAAACACAAAAAGCAAGAGACAATCATTCGTATCTTTTTAAGAGCTATTAAACGTTTGGGGAAGTTACTGAGAATAGGCATAAATACACGTTTAATCACATTCAAACAAAATAAACTGTTTGGCTATGCCAGGAAACCTCGAGGCTTGAGCTTGATTAGGTTGCATGAAAGGTGAGCTCCTAACTCACAGTACAGCTCCAGCACTTTAATACATGTTCATTGCAGATGGGTCAGCTTGGTGTAACAATTCCTTGTGAAAGGTTAGTGGTAAGGTATTTAAAAGGATGGCAAACATAACTTAGAGGTACATAGGTAGGAATTCTGAGCAAATGTTATTTATGCAGATGGAAGAATGTTGTTTTTTTTTTTTTTTTCTCTCCTGTTTTAGTCCAAGAAAAAAGGGCTGAGTGTTGAGGAGAAGAGAGCTCGCATGATGGAGATCTTTTTTGAAACAGTAAGTCACTTGCTTAAAGTTGTCCTGCATTTACATCCAGTGGGAAGATAGGCCCTAAAAGGAGGTTAATTGTAGATGAATTGTGTGTATACATCTGCATTTCGTTGATGCCCTGTGTCGTTGTTGTATAAATTACTGGGATGGAGCTGGATCTGTGTAACTTTGGATCAGGTGGCTGGTCCCCTGACGGAGCAGTGGCATAAAGATACACAGGTGTTGTTAAATGCTCAACGTGTTCATCTTTCTTGGGGCCAAATCTTCTCATGTTGAGTCTGGTACCATAAGAACAACAGTGAGAGATTAGGAAGGATCTTGCTGACTTTGAGAGGCGAGAGAAATCTCAGTGTTATGAGATCAGAGCAGGCCTGAAAGGTCACTGGGGAGAAGAAACCTGGAGATCCGAAAAGCAGACCTATGTGTATACTGGTGGGATATGTACAGCATGATGTTATTAAAACATTTACTGTCACCTTTGAGTACTTTAGCAATGCAGTGCCCTGCATCTGGTGCAGACAGTCTAACCCTGACTCTGTTCCCTCAAAGGGGTTTTCACTCTAATTTTAGGCAAAATTTGGCGACTCTTTTGGAACAAAGAAAAAATTCTCGTTCTTTTCTTTTTTTCTTTTTTTTCTTTTTTCTTTTTGCTTCTTTCATTTTTTCTTTTTTTGTTACTCTAGAGACAGCAATAGTCTTTTTTTTTGTTTTGTTTAAATTTCTCAGAATGCCTTAATTCTATTGAGGGATATACATCACATTTCCCTAGCAAAAGATAAACATTCAGTGTATTTCCTGCTTGCTTTTGTTGGCATTGATTTAGTGTAAAAACCATACAGGCTTAGATGGTGCTGTCATTTGCAGCTGAAGTATCTTTTGTGTTTTGCACAGAAAGATGTGTTCCAGTTGAAGGATATAGAGAAGATTGCTCCAAAAGAAAAAGGGATTAGTAAGTATTTACAAAGGTTTTTTCTCTCGAGCCATTGATTATTTTTGGGACAGGTCAAATAGTGTAATTTTTCCTGATTCTGGTCGTAGGCTTGTTATTTTAATAGCAATGGGAAAAATATCTGGAAAAGCAGACAGTGGTCAATGGCAGGGCTGCAGGAGTAACATCAACAGAATTCTCCTGTCATTATTTGCTAATGTTTGCGTCACTTATATTGGATTATAGTGCCAAAATTAGAGATTACTGAGATGCTACCTCCAAACAAACCAAAACAAAACCTTAGTCCATTGAAAGTCCCTGTTAGACTTGAAACTGAAAGTCAGACACTGAAAACTAGGAATTAGCTTGAAGTATTTGCAGCGCTTGTGGATGATGATAACTAGTTCCCTTTGCAGAACTGGAATAATTCTTAAAATGGTGAGTTGTACCCCACATTTGCTACAGAATGAACAATTCCTGCACGTATATAACGTTACAACAACTTTCTGTATTGGAACTGATTAAAATCAAATGCAAAATCTGTCACTCCTGAGCCTGTATGCAGGTGGGTTTAGTGCCTCTACTGCTGTTTAATGCTTTGGTAAGCATTGCAAAGTGAGATGAAATCACAGTCCTAATCAAGAAATTATAAGTTAATCCATGTTATAATTAAGATTGCAAGACAACTTTTCAAATGCCCCCTCACGCGTTTGTCACGCTATTGTACTGCAATAAGGATGTATATTTTGTGATAGTTGTGAGCGGTTTACAAACATCTGGTAGCAGACTGCATTGAATAGCAGCCTTTATGTTGAAACCGCTGATTTCAAAGGGATTCGTTCTTTGAAGTGAAGCATCAAGCATGGTGTCCTCTTGGAACCTTCCAGCTAGCTGACATTACTGTAAATTATTCATACAGATGACTGTAGATGGTGTCTAACTGTATTAATAATTCTCCATGGTTCTGTGGCAGTGCTGTGCAGTTCTAATGTGATATTTTTGTTTTTATTAGCTTCAATGTCAGTGAAAGACATTCTGCAAAGCCTAGTTGACGATGGCATGGTGGACACTGACAGAATTGGAACTTCCAATTATTTTTGGGCTTTTCCAAGTAAAGCTCTTCATGCCAGGAAGCGCAAGTTAGAAGAACTGCAGTCTCAGGTAAATCGGTTTTAAGGAAAGTACCTGGTAACCAGAATTTATTCTTACACCCTCTTGCTCCTCTCACTTGCTCTCGTGCACACACACCCCCACACACATACCCCTATTTTCCTGTGGGAATCATTTGGCAGTCAGGATAGGAGATTCTTTCTCGTTATCTTGATAGCACCCCCAGAAAAGTCTTGGAAGCCAATCTTGCTGGAGCTTGAGAAGACTTTTTGCCACTTGCTGGTGAAAACATGTTATTTGTGATGGAAAACATCATTTAAGGACTTCCTTTAAATAATTAGGCAACATATGCTTTTATGTGTCTTATATAGCGCAGGCCACCATGTGGTAATGTTCTGAAAGCCAGGAGAGGTCTGAAATGGATATCCCAAATCCATGTGGCAGTGGTTTCTACTTAGGGCCGTTGTTCATTCACATCTGTTCTTATTGATAGCTTAATTAGTGTGCACTTTTATAATCCAGTACTGCACTTTTATTAGGAGAGAAGAACAAATTGCTCGCTCATGTGATCTCCTGCAGAAGAGCAAGGCATCTTTTGTTGCAACGCTGCTGTTCTTTTGATCTGGCTTTACTAGTTTTTAGGAAGTGTCTTTCTTGCTTCTCCTAATTGGAGCGGGAAAGCATCTATTCATCAGTTTGTTTGCAACTGGAGTAAATGATAACAAGTTCAATAAACTAGTTTTATGGTCTTTATTGTCTGCACAACAACCCCGCCAGCTTTTCGCATGCTTATTTAGGGTTATGTTCATTCATCAAAGAATTAGCTGAATTAATGGAAAATTATTTGTAGCATCTGGAAATTTTTACGCACACTTTTCTTCAGGCATAGCTCTGGTGTCATCATTGCTATTGTATGTCAACTTCAGCTATTTTGTTAGTGCTGCAAATTAAATGTATAAAAACGTGCTTTTTTCCCCAATATGAATTGAAAAAGTATTTTGTGAATCTGAAGTCTTTTCACCAAGATAAAAGTAAAAAGTCTGATCAACGCAGTTATTTGGTAGCTGAAGTTCCTTCTTTATGCACAGAGCGTAGTAAGAACAGCTGAGAGGTAACCTTGTCAGCTGTCCCTGGCGATGCTGTCACTGTTTGTAAATCTTTCATGATTAAACTGGAAGAGTCCACTGCTTTCTTTTAACCAACATAAGGTCATTTCCACTTGCCCTGGGGAAAGGGTAGATTAATTACTGGCCTGCATGCTCTAGGCAGGCATCCCAAAGTGTTTTGTGTGTCTGCTTGTGTGGATTTGGCAGAGGGAGGGGAGTACCCGTACTCTGTCACATGCCTGGTGCATCTACTCCAGTTTTTAAGGTTAAGAATGAGACTTGCCAGAACTTTTGGCTCCTTTTACCATATTCACAGATCTGTGTTGCTTTTGTGAGCTGGTGATGTCTTCAGGGCTCTGAAGAAGGAAGCACTGTGGAAGGCTGCACTCCTGATCATCACTAACTGGAACTGCGTGGTGACAGCCTTCCAGGCAGGTGCTTTGGATGAGTTGAAGAGTGCTGCTTGAGATAGCTGCTGTGGTACTGTTTGGGTCATTGGAATTATTGATACTTTCATTTCAGGGTCTGCCACTGACTTGCTCTATTTTGGGTACCTTTCTCAGCATCACAGATGACCTGTTAGCATCATGGATATAAACTTCTGTGTACTTGTTCACCAAACACCCTAGTCTTGTTGAATGCCAATGGTTTGCTCACAGATTCTTCCGGGTTTTGATTGTGTGACACACTGTAGCCAAGTAGCTGAATGATGGAACTGGCATTTGTCTTTGCCCTTGGGTCCAGTCTTGAATTTTCAAGATAATTATCTTGAATTTTCAAGATAATTGATCAAGAAAGCCTCTAGCATACCATGATCAGTATCTTCCTTTGAATGCCTTGCAGAATGAATGTAACGTGTTCCACTGAAAGTATCCAGGGATTGTCTACAAACATGTGCTGCCTTAAATGTACTATTACGTTATTAAGCATAGTACCATCTATTGTTATGGTATTATAACAGTCATGCAGTTAGTGTAATGTTATTTTGTGGTTATTTCTGTTTAGAAATAACTGTGCTGATATAAACAGTTTCATAATACTAAAACTGTTGCAGTTGAAAGAAGACGTTTTGTTATCAGACCCTATTTGCAAACCCAAGTCCTACTTTTAATATACAGGCTTCCTGAATTTTCTTTAAAACATGTTGTAAGTCCTTAAAAATAGTTTTATTCATTACCTTGCTTTTTTGATGAGAATGGAAACGTTTCAGTGTTTCAGGGGAAACAATTTCCAGTAGCCAAACCTTTCCCTGTTGACACAGTGGAGGGGTGGCACTTTCAAATGAATAGCTCTCAGAACATTTTTACAAGATGATAAAAGATACTGTCTGTGGGCTTAACTCGGCTGTATTTAGTGTTTGTGTTATTCTCTATGTGAACACACGCACATTTCCTGAAGGGGTTTCTAAATCCAGTCACCAGGTATCACAAAACGTCCTGTCAGAACATGTGAAGCAGAGGGAAGGAGTAAGCTGTTGTACAGTTTCTGCTGCACGTTGCCTGTCTTTGATCATTCCCATGCACAGCTTGTGGCGTGCTGTGAGACGTGTTTTCTTTCTGCCTCTTGTCCAGATCACTTGTTTAACTGCTTCAGTTGGTCTCTTTCTTTAGCAGTTACAAGCTGGGATTGGAGTGCTTTACTTAAAGCAGAAGTTTAAAAATCCAGCAGTCTAGTTCATCCACAGTTAAGGCTTTAAACCTAGAGGCAGTACCTTTGTTTGCTGAGGGCATGGGTAAATAGCTGAGGGAAAAGGATGATTCCACATGCTGAACCAAGACATTTGAAAATAATGTGGAGGAACAGAACAAGCTACTTCATAACGCAAATTCTCCTGTTAATTTGTGGAGCCCGGGCCTATGTTTGACTAGTCAGGCCTGCTACAGCATCTTTTGACTGCAGACATTGGTATTGTATAACGATTTAACAAAGCTAAAGCTCATAGCTTACTGCATCTGACAGAGTATGTGATTGTGGGGAGTCTTGAAACAGAATTTTTGGTTCATTTTTTTTTTGGTGATTATTGAGCCACACCCCAACAGAGAGACAGTAGCAGAGAGGTCTGACTCACTACTCCTAACAAAGAGTATGCCATGTTTGCCTGGGTGTTAAAAGTTACACCTCATGGTTGTTGTCTATATCCTTGGTTTTGTTATGTTTTGTTTTGTTTTTCTTTCCAGGAAGGATTTGTTACGTCTTTGGTGTGATCTCCTTGTGCAGAGATATGGCATTCAAAAACAATGGTTGAATTAAAGTTGTTTCTGTTGGCATAGCTCTTTTTTCCTCGTTTTTCAGCATGTTTTTCTGGGGCATGTGTTTGAATAAGGCTGCAAACTCCTGAACGGGACATAGATGGCAAATCCTGTGCTGATTTCATTAGGATTACGATCTTAGTGCTGTTCTCCAAACCAGAGTTACTCTTTGGGCTTCTTCCTGTTTTTCTGAAAAGCAGTTACCACAAATACCCTTGCTTTGTGTAGCTTCTGCTGATTTCTTTTTTTTTTTTTTCTCCAATAGGTCAGAGTAAGAACTGCTTGGTAGGTCCCTATGGATTTTGGATTGATTTGCTGTGCAGTGGCACGGCTGCTCTTAAAGGTTTATGCCTTCCGCCAGATGCTTGTACTTCACCTCTCAGTTATGCTTATGCAGTTGGGAATTGAACCATCGAAAAAGACAGTGGAATCTGCATTTTGGTTAAATCAGATTGTTCTGCAGGTCTGGTTTATTATGGCATCAGTACAGCTATGAGATTGTGAAACCAGAGTGAGGGTGTGGATTGAGAAGTATTGTTTAAACAAGGTTTATAAGTGGAGAAATCTTTAATGGAACTCTACCTCTGTTGAGAGAACTGTGGAAGCTTTACTCAAGGGGTTGGTTCTTTTCTTCCCGTAAAAAAAGGTGGAAGGATGCAGTTTTATTCTTTACCAATATTCTCCTGGCAGTCAGTTTCTGAAGTTTTGTATTACTTATGTTCAATTATGTTTTGACAAAATGAGTTGTTTTTTCTTGGCTTAGCAATACTGGAAGCTCAGGGGTTTTATTAAGCTAGCAAAGAATGTGACCTGTGCAGTGTAAGCAGGAAGATCATCTTCTGGTGAGGATTCTTCTGCCTTTTGTTGATTTCATAGCATGCATAAAATGAGGAGATTGGAGATGAGTAGCTCTGGCATGTTACTCACAGTCACGTTCCATCTCAGTCGAGAGTTGGTAATACATCGCATACACACTGCATCTTGGGTTTGTGTGTTGTTCTGCTGGACATGTTGCCTACTGAATGGATATGACTGCGAAGGATTCATTGCCTGCTGAAGATGAGAAGGCACATATGCAGCAAAACTCTGACAGCACTTTTACTGGGAAGGAAACAGCATATCAGTGAGTGAGGCAAACAGAGACCTTTCTGATGTAACCTTACTATAAAGAGATTCAGCTTAGATTTTGTTTTATTTCTTCTTCTTTCATTATCTATGTGTCTTTTAATACCTGTGCTATTTTATTGTCTGTTTTAGATAAGGTGAATTAATTTCTGCTTGCATTTTGCTTTATAGTGGCTTGAGTTAAGCATTAATTAACGTAACTGCTAACACTGAGGTCTTTTTTCACCTGAGGGTGGACCAGGCTGTGAACCACAACCCTCAGAAGCTGTAAGGAGCGTCCTATCTCTCCAGCACGTTGTCTACAATAGACAAAGCGAGGAATTCTCTACTTGAGCTGCCCAGGACAGGTTTAGTACTTACACTGCTGGGCTTAAGGGACCAAGTTCTTCAACAGAGATCTTTCTGTTGTTAGTGTTAACTATTGGCAGTACTGGAAATACCGTAATTTAGTAGTTTGGGGAAACAAGAAGTTTACTTCCTTTCTCCAGTCTGGTTTTATGACGGTTCATTTCTCTCTTCAGTTCAAAACAGTTTATTTCACCATTTTATTGTCAATCATTGCAATTTATTT